GGATTTCCATTCCATCATACCAGTTACAATCACTCATTACTCTTCCTTTTCGATCAAACAATTTTCCTCTTCCAAATCGATTATCATCACACCAATATCCTTCATATTCAATACATCCATTATTATGATAACTCGTTCCATATCCAAATCGTTTCCAATTGATCATTATGCCCTTGTACACCAATATTCCATCATCATCATACATTTCACCATATCCAAATGGAATTCCTATTTTACCTTCTTTTTCATTTTCTGTCAATACCAAGCCTTCAAATCGACTCCCATGATCCAAATCCACTATTCCTTCTACTTCTATGGATTGTTCTTCACTGTATGAAATAGCACCAATTTGATGATTTCCTATCACTTTCAACACTTTCTGCTCATTGAGTACAAATCCTTGATTCATGAATATTCCATTATTGAATTGCAATACCACACATTCTCTATTACTCAAAATGAGTGAAATCCAACCATTTGGTTTCATTTCCTTATTCGCGCGTCCTTGTACATTTTGGACAATACAACAATTAACCTGGTAGTTATTCATGACAGATTTGGCAGAATCAGTGACTGTTTGCAACAAAAAATAAAAAAAGAATTACTTTCATTCCAAAAAAGATATGTTTAAGAATTGCCCTCCTAAAACTCAAATATATTGACTTATGGTAGTGGTATAGTAAAGTAGAAATTAGTGATTTAAAATCACTTTATCCTCTTTTGTATGACTTTTGAAATACTAGTATTTCGAAATAACCATTGCCATTTGTGATATTCTATCTCATGCTAATCATTGATAAAAATAGTTTTCAGCCTTTTCACAATAGCCATTCTCTTTTATCATTAATACAATCTATACAAAAACAAAATTTGCACTATCATTGTAATGAGAGTGAAAGTGAAAAATGTTTGCAGGTTAATTTCGAACGAATTTGAATTACACACAAAGATATTAATTATTATTTCCAACACACATTTACAATGATTTCTTTCAATGTTTTAGAAAAGTACTTAACTCTCCTGTGCTTATTAGGTTATTATTATTCCTATTAATGATAACCATAACGTATTTTCAATGAGTTACACTATTGATCTTGTTTGTTAAAATCGTACTCCTTGAACTGTATTTCATTCAATTCTTCCATTGTGAAACGAAAAAAAGGACAAATAGCTCTCTTTTTCACACAATGACATAATATGTATTGTGCTTTCCAATAATTCAAGTATGGTAATCTGTACAGCATGAAGTCTATAGAAATCCTATGTTCAATCAGCCAGTTTATCTAGCATAAGGTTTATGCTATTATTACTACATTTTACTTCCGTAATATTACAAATGAACGATTTCTTTCTCCGCATGCTGTTTTCCAATTTGATTCAAGTCCTTCTTTATCACTGATTATGCTAAATAAGCCATATTTCGTGGAATGCTGCAGTCTATTGCTCATTCACTACCAGTTATTGTCTTTATTATGATCCGATGCTTGTCGTGATGGCTGAATTACTCATCATTATCATTCATCATTTATGACCATATTCTATTTGCTATGCAGTTCTCATCGCTGTCTAATCAATCAGTATTTGTTCAACGATTGTGTTTGTATTGCATTCCATTACGTCCAATAGTTACAATCTACACCAAGGCAACTCATTCTAGTCT